GGGCCGAGTTGCTGTCCGCCGCCTTCCTGCCGCCTGCTTCTGCCTGCCTCCTCCGACCTGAGCGCATGCCCGTCCTGGCCCGGCGTGTCTCGCGCGGCTCGCATGACATCGGGGGGCCTGTCCCTCTACAGGAGGAGTATTCAAAACCAGCCAAACAAATAGCTTGGGGACGACTTATGTGTATATATATATAATCACACATGTTAATATATATATATATGCATATATGTATATGTATATATAAAACTACATATGAGCATTCTTGGCATTTGTTTGTAACTGTGGTCCAAAAGCCGCCTGCAGGGGGACGTTGCCCGACCCGAGCGTAGGCCTGCCCTGGCCCGGCGTGCCTCGCGCAGCTCCCGCGGGAGCCCCTTGCGGCTGCGGCCCCTCGCGGCCCCCTGCGAGCCTGCTCGGCGCGGGCCCGTGGCATCGCTCGGACGAGTGCATTTTCGCAGGCCTAGAGGTTGACACCAACACCAAGATCGGCGGTGCACCTCCACCGAGGGAAGACGATCCCGATCTCGGCGATGGTGGTACTATTCTGGCTGCCAGGGTGCCCGAAATATTACCACCAGCACTGAAGTCTTGGATCATCTCCCCCCTGTGGAGGCAACCCCTCTAGGCCTCCTAGATGGGGTCCGAGTAGATGTGGTCGGGGGATCGCGCCGCATCGCCGATGCATCGGCGATGCGGCTCGATGTGGAGCCCGATTTTCTCCACGCCGACGTCGCAGGTGCATCGCCGAAGTCGACGACGCCTCGCTGGTGCATCGCCGATGCATCGCCGACACATCGCCGACGCATCGGCGATGCGGCGCGATCCTCCGACCCCATCTGCCCTGACCCCATCTGGGAGGCCTCTAACCCCATGTGCTGGTGCTGGTGCCCCTTCCCAGGCCTCCAGATGTTTTCTCGGCGAGGACCAGCGAGGACCGCCCCGGGCCGGCCGGCGAGAGCAACAACAGGAGCGCACTCGCACGGAAGCCGAGACGTGCACGGGGAAGGGGGGCGTCCGAGCGACGGCCGGGTGCCCACCCGCGCTCCGCCCGGGGAGCGCGCCCGCCGCTCCCGCCGACGCCGCGCTGGCCCTCTCGGGTCGAGCAGTGGCGAAGCGTCCTGGCGTGCCTATGTCAGGAGGGGAAAAACACACACAGACACAATTCATCGTCGATTCCCCAGAAAATATGGGAAAATATGGGAAGTGGGGGGGGGCCAAACACCCAGAACATATAGGAACATATGGGGAATCTTTTTATTTCTGTGTGTTTATGTGTGTGTGTGTGTGTGTGTGTGTGTCCTGGGGCCCCTTCAGAGTCGAGCAGTGGCGAAGCGTCCTGGCGTGCCTGTGGTCCCACCAGGTGATGTTCTGAGAACCTCTCGTGGTTCCCACGGGATGTTCTGATAACTTTTCAGGCTGGGACGGCCTCGTTTTATCACATGGGGGTTCTCTGTTCTGAGGACTGTTCTTGTTCTTAGAACAGTTCTGGGTGCTACGGACATTTCGTGGTAGGACTATAGGAATGCCGGGGAGGTCGGTCCCTGCTCAATCGAGGGCCTGTCCTCCCCGGCTCAAGTCGGGCCTGTCCCTCTGCAGGAGGAGTCTTCAAAAAGTAGTATTCACAAGTATTCAGAACGTACTCCACAAGTTGTCAAACGTATTTGTTTCCCGTCAGTTTTGCCCATCTTTGGGTTTTTGGTAGTGACTCTCTTTTTCCTTTTCGTCCAACGTCTTCTTCGAAAGTCTTTGTTTTCCATGGTTCATTTCTCATTCTTCGAAAGTTCTATGATTTTTTGGGGGCCAAGATCCTGTCATTTCGAACTGTTCCATCCTGGGCCTCTTCCTGGCCACTGGGGGGGCCAGGAACAATTAGAAGCGAGCACAATTCGAAATGATCATGATTAGAAATGAACGACGTGTATTCAAAAAGTAGGCAAGAAATCGTCCGGGGACGGTTTTTCCAGTAGGCTTGACCATCTTTGGGTTTTCTTGTTGTGACTCTTTTTAATTTTTTGTCCAACACCCGCCTGTAGGGGGACATGCCCGACCTAAGCCTCGCCCAGCCACGCTGCCTGGGCCAACTCCGATCCGATCCATTCGTGGCTCAGGAAACGGGGGTCAATGCAGACGGGGGTCAGCCAGAGCGCCGGATCTTGTAGGATCCTGCAGGGCCAAGGTCGCATTGACCCGGGTTTGGGTGCAGGATTTTGCAGGATCCTGCAGTATCCTGCAGGGCCAGGGTCGCATTGACCCGGGTGTGGGTGCAGGATCCTGCAGGATCCTGCAGGATCCTGCAGGATCCTGCAAGGCCTGACTGACCCGGGTCTGGATTGACCGGGGTCAGAAGATCCCCGATCCATCCGCTTTGATATCTGGTGGTCCCCAAAACGTGGTGGTGAGAACACCCGGTGGTGAGTTTTGGGCGATTTGGGTAATGGTTTTCGAGCGCTGGCTGGCCCAGGAAACGCAAAACCTCGTGGCGACCGCGTGTCCCCAAACCCGGTGGTGACCCAGAATTATTTGTTTGGGGAATCGGGGTCACCACCGGGTGTCTCACCACCTGGTTTGGAGACCACCAAATATCGGTGCTGGCCAGCCCGCTCCGACTCCAACACGATTTGCCGACGCGGCCCGGGGTTTGCATGGGGCCCTTGTGCACCCGGGCGCGGCCGATTCGGCTCGATACCGGCGCCGTGCCAGTGCAGCTCGACTGGTACGCAGGCCCCACTGTTCGGGGGCCCAAGAGTATGCACCACCACCACCTCCCTCCCCCCCCTCCCTCCCGGGGGTAAGAAAGGTTGACGGTTTACCGCCGGCGCTCAGTTCGAACGCGCTGGAGAGCTAGTTGGCAAGAAAAATCTCGACGGACCTTTACCCTCGTAGAGCTCTTCGTTATCGACGAGCTAGAGGAATTCCGGCGGGGGGGGGGGAGCTAGTTGGCCGACCCGACCAGAACAATGTGGTAATTTTGGCGCTGGAAAGAGGAGGGAGGAGGACTCGACGTGGTGGTGGTGTACAGTCGGGGCGCTGAAGAAGGAACCCTTCTCGTTGGGGAGGGGCTCGGTGTTCTTTGACTGTTTCACAGTTTGCCTGAAGCCTCTTTTCTCAGACCTTCGAAGGTACATCGAAGTTGAACTTGTGGGAAAAGGGGCCTCCTTCCGTATTTAGGGTTCCTTTCAGGAGGGGAAAAAACACAGACACAATTAATCGGCGATCCCCAGGAAAATATGGGAAAATATGGGAAGTGGGAGGGAAGACAAAAACCCTGAAAATATGGGAAAATATGGGGAATCCGTTTATTTGTGTGTATTTATTTGTGTGTCCTGGGGCCCCTTCATCCTTAGGTCAACGCCCCGACTGCATCTTCTTTGGGCCCCCAAGTGCGGTCCGATCTCGTGCCCTGCGCTGCTGGCTGCTCCCTCCCCCCCCTGCTGCTCTTGCGAGCCTCGCCGTCCGGCGCGGCCGCTCGGGAGCGCCCTCAGGAAGCGATGCCTTGGTTTTCGGAGGACGATCGATGTCAGGAGGGGAAAAAACACACAAACACAATGAATCGTCGATTCCCCAGAAAATATGGGAAAATATGGGGAGTGGGTGGGAAAACAAAAACGTAGAAAATATAGGAAACTATGGGAATCTTTTTATTTGTGTGTATTTATTTGTGTATCCCAGGGCCCCTTTAATGCCTTGGTTGCGGAGGACGATCGATGGAGAGGAAGCATGCGGCCAAAGAATTAGGGGGCCACATACGAACCCCACCCCTACCCCCCACGATTTCTGAGGGGGAGGGTGGGGTTCACTTCGCTCGGGAGCTCCCGAACGAAGTGGACCCCACTCTCACCCTCAGAAATCGTGGGGGGTAGGGGTGGGGTTCGCATGTGGCCCCCTAATGATGTCCAGATGTCTCAAAGATCTTTCACACATGCTTTAAATATGTAAAATAACATGTTTGAACCATCTTTAGAACATGCTTCACACATTTGAAACACGTCTTTCATTCAATGATCGGATTGTTTGAGTGTCCAGTGTCATGGCATCCACAATGCTTTGGAGCCTGGAGGCCCGGGCATTTTTGTTGGGTGGAGGGCAAATGGTGAAGTCTGCAATGCCGTTTCGATTAGTTTTCGAGGTTTGAGTCTGCAAAAGGTGAGTCACAAGACGGACTGATCTTCGAGGCGCAAAAGCCCATGTGAATTTCAACCTGAGACCTCCACCCTAGGACAATATTCAGGAGGCTGCTTCTTTTTCCCTCTCGCGATGACGGGCGTGAGGGGGGGGGGCCGGCCGGCTATGTTACGATGCGCGCCGGCGCCGTCTGGGAATGTCTGCGAATGGCTCACTCCCATAGGGATGAACTCGAGGCTGGTGAGTTCCGTCTTTCGGGGCCTCCTTGGAGGCCCTCGTCGCCGCCGCCGGATTCGCTTCGAAGTTCTGGTAGAACGCACCCGGGGGGAAGCCTGTGGAGTAGCAGTATCGGTATTTTTTGGTTTTTCGGTGGATGGCCCATGGTTGGCAGCTCGTCGGCCGCGAGATGCTGGATTCTCCGTCGAACGATTCTTTGCCCGGTGTCCGCACTGGCCCATCGTGGGTCTTCCGATGTGTTTTGCGCTGCTCCCCGTCTGCGCCCTTCTGCCTTGCTTCTCGCGGATCCCCCTGCCCAGAACTCAACTCCTGCGAGGTTGAATTCCGCATCGGCGCTGTCATATCTGTGATTCATTATAGACCGGCCCGATCCCGTTCAAACCAGGGCTATACACCTCATGCGATGCGTTATTCCGCTTGCGTTTATTTGATCTGGCTTGATATGGGTGAATTCTGGACTTCGTCTGGGCCAGTCCAGCTCGAGGGCCTTTCGTCGGACTTGATCGCCGCTTGTCGTTCTTACGAAGAGGCTCAGGAGTTTCCACCTACGTCTGCTCGTCCCCCTGCTAGGTTCTCTTGCTTCACCCGGCGAGCAGCCTGTCCCACGTCTTGCCTCGCGGCGGTGCTCTCCGACGCTCCAGTGTAGGCCGACCGGGCGATGCTTGCCCGTTTTTGTTCTCGAATCCGCTGAGTTTGCATGGTTTAGCCCTCAGGGACATCCGTGCTCTCGCATCTGTGCCTCTAGCCAACTCAGTCCCCTCAAGAAGCTCTTCCCCACTTTTCATTGCAGTTCTTCTCACGGGCTCATCGGCTCATCGTTGACGTAACCGTAGGAATGGCGGACCTTCTAGATTTCCTCCGTCAGCCGCCGTCTCCTTGGCAGTGCCCCCCTCAACCTTCGGCCCCTACAACCTTGTCCCTTGCCTTGAACCGAAGCCCCGGGGCTCCAGCCAGGCAGACTTATAAGTCGTCAAGGTTGCGTCGCTCGATTACCTTTGGACTCCCGAGCTCGCGCTCACTCCTCCATGCGACCAGCTCTGGAAACCCATGTCTGACACTGTTGATGTACAGTCAACCCGCATAGTAAAGACGGGCAGCCTTCCCAAGGGCACCTTTGCATCCTTGCCTCCTCGGTCTATCCTTGGCCTCTTTGGCTGGCCAACCTCGTTCGAACAGCGTTCACGTGGCACTCCGAGGCCCTTGCATCCTTACTGCGCATCCTTATTATACGGGTTGACTGTACTTGGTCTTTTGGGGGGATTGTTGTCCCGCCAGCGTCCAGCAGCGTTCCGCCATCTTCAAGAGAGGTCATTTCTTGTCGCTTCGCATGTGCCCATCGTTCTTCTCGCCTGTACGCCCACCCAGCATGATGGACACCACTCCTTCGTGCACGTCCCCCCGTCGTCTGTGTGGGTTATGCCTCACGGCATGCACCGAATTTTTCGGCATTTTGTCAGACTGCACGTGCCCGAGCTTCCCTGGATGCCCCCAGCTGTCTGCCTCCCGCGCAGCCCCGCTGCTGCTTGGTGACTGGGCTGGCCGGCCTGCGGCGCGCCTTGTAGCCAATTGGGTTTGCCCGTCGGCCCGGACAATTTCTCTCGCCGCTTGCGCGCTCGCTGGTGGCCGCGACCAAAACACGTGTGCCCACCACGGCTCTTCCTGGCACCACCTCGCGCAGCCCGGGAGCTTACTCCAGATCTCGTAATAAAGGGAGGGGGGTCTCATTTCGGGGGGGGGTCTCTTCCAGGCCGTCTTGGAGGGCCTGGGGGGGGGTCTGGGGACGACGTTTTGGGGGGTCCTCCCACGGGGGGGGGGGTCTGAAGTGGCTGGTCTTGGAGGGTCCAGACCCCCTCCCTTTTGTTACGGTAGGTTTGCGTCGTGTCGACCAGCGGCGACCCCAGCGCGGGCGTTCAAGGTTGAACGCCGCCAGTGGCCCAGAATCAACCTATATGGAACGACCGGGCGATCGACCAGCCGCCGATCGTTCAAGGTTGAACGATCCACGCGGCGTCAGAAACCAACGCTGGGGTCGGCACGACACGAACCTGCCGTAGGCAGCTTGTTCAGCTCAGGTCCGGCCGTCGGCCCCCGTGCGCCAGGCCGTTCGCTTCGCGCGCCCGCCCGCCCGACCTCCGACACGCCGCTGGCGCGGCCGCCTCTGCGGCCGCGACGAGAAGTACTCCAGATTTCAGCTCCTGCAGGATTGCAGGATTGCAGCTCCTGCTCCCGCGCCTTTCGAACTCCTCCTCCTCCTCCTCCTCCTCCTCCTCCTCCTCCTCCTCCTCCTCCTCCTCCCTCTCCTCCTCCTCCTGGGTCTCAACCCTCCCAGACGAGAAGTTTTAGACCCCCCCCCGTGGGAAAACCCTCCAAAGCATCGTCCCCAGACCCCCCCAGGCCCTCCAAGATGCCTCCCTTTGTTACGAAATCTGGAGTATGCCCGCCAACCTTTTGCCTCGCCAATTTTGGCGCTGCGCGTGGACCTGTCGGGGGAGCGTAAGACCCGGGTTTGCCAGGACCCGGGTTCGCCATCGTTTTTTGACGACCGCGCCCCGGATTCTGACGAGGAGGAGTTTCGTGGGATGTCTGCAGCGGGAGGCCTCGTCAAAATGCAGGCTCGGCCTCGTCATTTTTTGACGACCTCGTCGGGGATTTCCGAGTTCCTTGTACCCAGGTCTTACGTTCCCCTGAACCTGGTGCTCTGGGTCGCCCGCGTCTGCGGCGCAGTGTAGCCCCCTCCTGCGCACTTCGTGGGTGATTTCGGCCACTGCTGGTCGGCAGTTTCCTGACGGCGCCTGGCACCCCTGCGCGCTCGCGAACGAAAGACTATGCCCACCAACCCATCCGGCAACGACTCCTAGGCGATGAGCCCTGATCAGGTGATGTTTCGCCTGTTCTGGATGGCCCCTGACCCGCCCGTTCAGGACCGCCCGCCCGACCCACCCAAGCAGGGTCCGCCCGCTCCCTTGCTCGGAGACGCGCCCGCCCGTTCTGACGTTCCGCCCGCCCGTCCCGCGCGTCAAGGCCCGCCCGCCTCATCCACCCTGTACAGTAGGTTCAAATCGGGTGTTTCCACAGGCGGAGTATTTTAAGATAGCCCCCAGATAGTTTTGGGACGATGTTTTTCGACTGTTTTCGATTATTTTTGTGTGTATGTGTATATATATATATATAGATATAGATATTCTCCTCTTCCGATATTTTTACACGCCTGGGCGGGGGGGGACCCCCTTCCCCAAAACCGGACTCCCGGGCAAGACACTGCTGGTGTAACGCGCCGGGAAAACAAGGCGTGCGAACGATACATATATATACACATATAGGTATGCATGTATGTATGTATGTATGCATGCATGCATGCATGCATGCATGCAGGTATGTATGTATGTATGCATGTATGTATGTATGCATGTATGCATGTATGTATGTATGTATGTATGTATGCATATATGTATGTATGTATGTGTATGTGTATGTATATGTATATATATATATATATATATGTATGTCTATGTATGTATGTGTGCGTATTTATGTATGCATGTATGTATGTATGCATGTATGCATGTATGCATGTATACATGTATGCATATATGCATGTATGCATGTATGTATGTATGTATGTATGCATGCATGTATGTATGTATGTATGCATGCATGCATGTATGCATGCCTGCATATATGTATGTATGTATGTATGCATGCATGTATGTATGTATGTATTCATGCATGCATGTATGTACGTATGTATGTATGTATGTATGCATGTATATGCATATGTATATGTATATATATATATATATATGTATATGTATGGGTATATGTATATGTATATGTATATGTGTATGTATATGTGTATGCATGTATATGTATGTATATATATATATATATATATATATATGTACGCATGTATGCATGTATGCATGTATGCATGTATGCATGTATGCATGTATGCATGTATGCATGTATGCATGTATGTATGTAGGTATGTATGTATGTATGCATGCATGCATGCATGCATGTATGCATGCATGTATGTATGTATGTATGTATGTATGTGTGTATGTATGTATGTAGGTAGATTTGTGTATGCATGTGAGTCTATATGTGTGTATGTATGTACATGTGTATATGCATGCATGTACGCATGCATGTATGTATGTGTGTGTATATATATATATATATATGTATATATAAGATACTTTTGTAAGCACGGGCGGCGGGACCCCCCCCAAACAAAAAAATGACTCCCGGGATCTGGGGCTTTGGGACCCTCCGGACGGGCCTCGAAGCGGCCCCCTGGGCGTCGCAGGGCGTTTTGCCAAGCCTTCCCAGCACTCCTAGGGCGATCAGAGGGGGTCATCGGAGACGTCCCAGAGACCTCCAAGGCAGCACAAGAGCGCTCCAAGAGTGACCGAGGTGACCTCGATATAGGCCTCCAGGACGGCCCCAAAAGGCTTCAAAACATTCCGAATCGCACTCCCAAAAAAGGCCCCCAAAGGCATAAGTCATTGATTTTCTGTGGTTGTTGAGTGAATTTTGGGGTTCTCCTCTTTTCGGCTCCCTGACGCTCCAGTACGGCAGTCTTCTGGGCGTCCGAAGCCGCCTGGGAAGCTCCAAAATCGCCCCACAATCATCCGAAAGAGCTTCTAGGCAGTCCCACAGAGCCCCAAAACGGCACAACAGGGGTCAAACATGGCCCTCAGAGAGTCCCATGGCGGCCCAAGACGGCCCCAAGACACCCTCCGAAGCATTCCAAATCGTGACCTGGTCGTTGAGGGAAACAATGGAGGCAGGGTGGCCCGAGGAAGCCCCCAGAACCTCCAGAACACGCCCAGGAGGCCCCCAGAAGCTTTAAGAAGGCCTGAAACTTTTGTGATGCCCCCAGAGGCTCTCCAAGGAGGAGCCGTCGCAAACAGAGCTGAGGAGGATGGGGAGAATGCGCAGGGTATGGCGAGAATGAGGAAACAGAAACATGGAGGAAGGATAACGAAGAGCATCATTTCAGCGGCGATGCTGGAAAAAGGCAACGAGGAGTTATCGCTAAATTGTCGGCTTGGCCTTCCTGCCACTCGGCCTGCTTACCAAACTTCAAGGACCAAGGTGCATGGCGCGAAGCGCCACTGCAGTCTTATTTATATATATATATATATATCCACTCACACTATTTTCATGCTTGCTTCAAAAATCCGCCTGTAGGTGGACATGGCCGACCTAACGTTAGGCTCAGCCCGCCCGACGCCTTCTAGGGGCCGCCCGCCCGACCCGGCTGCGTTGTCCAGTCGCGGCTTTTCTTTCGGCAGTGCCGTGGCAAGAAGAAGCCCACCAAAGAGGATGCACGCAGAGGGCGGTAATGGAGGATGACGATTGATAAATGACCGGGGGTCGTGTTCACGCGGCGGCGCCCAAGATGACGATTGGAAAAACCCGGCAGCGGGGTGGAACACTATTTTTAAATCGTTCTCCTCCAGTCAGAAGGTTTAGCAGAAATAGCAGAGAACTATGTTTTGAATCGTTCTCTCACATTTTTTCATTAATCGTCATCCCGCATTAGCCGAGGGTTCGGAAGAGATTCGAGCAACGGCTGAGTCGAACGTGAGCAGCGGCGAGCCGGCAGCCTATTGCACTGCTTGCTGCTGCCCCCGTCGCACACCAGCTCGGACCCTCGAGGATCGCAGGACGCTGTGGTTGTATGACGTTGGCTCTCTTCTGCCTCTGCGGGCCCCCCGGAGGCTTCCAGAGGCAAAGCGTCGGAGGTTGATAGACCTC